ACACCCAAGGTACATGCCCTTGACGGGAATTAAACCCGGGACCCTTCAGTCCTCAGGCCGACGCTATCCACTGAGCCAAACCAGTTAGGGCAGTTCACATGAACTTTTAAAAAGATGCTGGGAATAGACAGGGCCCAAGCTTCTTCTTGCTGGACGTGAGAGCCACACAGGACTTCCTGTGGGACAAGCCAGGAAAATCCTGGCACAGTTTGTGTCCCTGGGATTTTGACTCTGCAGGGACCTGCTGGCCTGGAAGGAGGCGAACTGGAGTGAAGCTGGACCTTGTTGGGTTGAATCCTGAGTGTATCTCTGCCCGGATCTGGGGCTCTGGGCTTACATCATCTCCCTCTTCAATGGAATAGCAAGTCCATCTGATAGGACTATGGTGAAAGCCTTGGGGTGAACTGCAGGGTCAAGGGCGAGGAAGTAAGTGCAGTCATCCTGTCCAGAGGTCCAGAGAGGCCTGGAGCAGAGGCAGAGCCCGGGGTCTGGATGGAGCAAGGGTGGTCCTGGTGGGAGGATGGTAGGAAGGCTTGGCAGCAGGGCTGGACTAGAGTGAGGCAGCTGAGGCACCTGGCACAGGACTGAGGAGGCCAGGGGCCTAGTGGATGGCTGTGCAGGGGGTCAGGGGGCACATTTCTTCCTTCCCTGATTTGATCCCCTCTCTGCTGGGGGTAGAGGGTCCTGGGTAATTATGTCCTCCAACCCTGTCTGCCAATGTGGTGTAACCTGAGAGCTTCTGGGTAGACGCACACATTCCCACCATAGAAGACAGAGCTTCCTGGACCAGCTCATCCAATCAGGGTCTCAGCTTTAGCGATTCACACCCCTGCCTTGGTTAATCCCCTGTCCTTCATTATTACAGGGGTGAGGCAGATGCACTCTATGCGGACTTGCACCAGCTGGAAGCACTCATGGCCGAGGAGGACAAAGACATGCCCTCAGCAGACCAGCTGCATGGGGAGAGCTTTATGAAGGAGTTTCCTCAGGTGAAACAGGACCTTGAGGAACGCATAGGAAAGCTCTACGCACTGGCTGATGAGGTTGACGAGGTGCACAGGGACTGCACCATCACCCAAGTGGCGGCCTCTTCCGCGGGCGCTGTGTCTGGCATCCTGACCATTGTTGGCCTGTCTCTGGCACCTGTGACAGCAGGGGTTAGTCTGGTGCTTTCGGCAACTGGGATCGGACTGGGGGCAGCAGCTGCTGTGACCGGTGTGACCGCCAGCATCGTGGAAGCCTCAAAGAACGCGTCAACTAAAGCCGAAGCCAGCCGCCTATTGTCAACCGGCAGTGACACAGAGAAGCTGGTTGGGGAGGTTCTAAGTCGCAGCGCACCCAAAATTGTTTCCTTAGCAAGGAAGTGCATCCAATCCCTGCAAGTCATTGTGAAGAATGCCCGTGCCTTCAAGCTGGCCAAATCCAATCCTCGCTTAGCAGTCAAGGCCATGCGTTTCTTGCGCAGGGGGGCAGTCTCAGCCGTAAGCGGCAAGCAGGTGCAGAAAGCTTTTGGAGGCACTGCTCTGGCCATGAGCAAAGGAGCCAGGGTCTTTGGTGCAGCCACGGCAGGTATATTCCTTCTCATGGATGTAGTGGATCTAGTGAAAGAGTCAATTCACTTACACAAGGGCGCAAAGGCTCAATCAGCTGAAGAGTTGAGGCAGCAGGCCCAGGAGCTGGAGAGGAGGTTGGAAGAACTCACCCGCATTCACACAAGTCTACAGGAGGACCTGACTCCGTGATCCCAGACAGTGCAGGGAGCAGGGTGTGTGGGAGACAAAGGCGTGAACTTACCTTGTTAGAGGGGAAAAGCCAGCGAGATAAATGGATGGAACTGCGTGTTAAGGTGTTGAGCACAGTGAAGGAGGGGTTCATGCAGATGGCTGGTGGGTCAAAGAGGAGGAAGGAACCTGGAGTCTGGAATCAGGGAAGAGAGGGGAAAAGAGAGTGGGGTGGGGTGGGGGGACTTTATTTTGACTAAAGAGACATTGGGGTCGCCGAAACCGGTTTGGCTCAGTGGATAGAGCGTCGGCCTGCGGACTGA